GGGGAGTAGTGGGGGGGGGGGCAGCTTGGCTTGAATGTAAGTAAGAGGGGCTTTGAGGGGAAATAGGTTGGGAACCTGAAGCCCTGGAAAACAAACTGCTTGCTTTCTGCCAAAGAGACTAAAGCAGAAGAAAAGTTTGTTTTGTGCCAGCCAAACGATGAGCTGAGACTCCCTGCGAATCAATAAAACCCCAACAGGAGGAGCGTATCAAAGTACGTTCTTTATACAGCTTCACAATGTTATGTGATAACACTCATTTCCACGATCGTGGTGTCAAAACTACTCAGGACTACTTACAGCTCAGGCACCGTATTATCTACCAAAAGTGACTGAGGAGATGAACGTCGCTGAGCTTAACGTTTAAAAAAATGAATACGTTATTATAAATTATTACCCACTCTCTTTACAATAGCTTCAGGATGACAACACAGTTTAGTTTTAAAGATTTGCAAGGTGCAGAGGCAATTCAAGTGGAATTGATAGACATTTATTTTWATATTCTGATTTTAAAGATCTTGGGTCAATGAGGTTTGCATACAAATATGCACCAGAGGATCTCTTAAACAGCTGGGTAGTCAGGACAACAAACCCTGGCGGCAGTCCAACAAACCCTCAAATGTGCACTTCAAGTCCAAATSTGGCCCCTTTCAGAGCACATTCTCTGTCCCCTCACACAATCAGCCCCTCCRCTGGCCTTCTTCTCTGTGCATATCGATTTACACTTCCCTACTTCCAAACAACTGGTGTCTTTGTTTTGTGCGTCTTAAAGTGTCAAGTATAATATTTATCACTGACCTTTATATTCATGTTACTTATCTAACTGGGTTACCCATTGGCTGCTGAAAATCAAAGTAGTTAAAAGTTTATAAAAGTCTGTCAATAAGTGCATGAAAAGTTTGGATAAGTCTGCAAAGATCCTCTCTGCAGGAAACCATTGTTTAAAAGGCTGAAAGATTTCAGTTTATAGCAGCCATAAAATGGTCTACTCACTTATTTTCATGTTAGCATTCTTTGCAGTAAATTAAGTGTGCAACTTCTAAAAGAATGTAGTGCTATTGTTGTGAACTAGACCAATAAAATTCTTAGCTTTCATTAAAAACTGTGTACTCTTTTTTCTGATATGAAACAATTTTGTCATGAGATATTTTTGATCATTTCAAATCAGCATGAMGTGCATTTAAACAGTGTTCCGTCAGAATCAGATTAAATATTTGCACTCTTTCTCCCCCAGTTTGTCTAGTTGGTGCACCAAGTTTAAAAGTTGATCACTATCTAAACACAGTAAATCTGCAGAAACATAGCTCTCATGTTTAATAAACACGGGKTTTCTTACCTTTATCCTCCTGACACACGCTCAAAGATTTACTTTGCTTTGGTTTCCTTGTCTTGTGTTATTTCGAGTCGCTGGTGGAGACTTCAAATGTTTCGAACTTAGCCAACAACAACTGGTGGGATAAGCTAGCTGTGTTAGCTTAATGCTAAGTGTTGACTACAGCGAAGAGAAGATATTAAAACTGACAGCTGACAGAAACTATGTCGGGGAGTTAAAGGCGCTATTTTTCTTACACTTCTTAAATCTAGCCGCCTGGCAGTGACTTCAGGTGACACACATCACCCTCCATGCTGTTTTATCACAGCCGTACTCCTGACAGCTACCCAGGGGCGGTTCGCGGTTAGCTTGACCAGTTTGACAAGGACGAGCGCAGGGCATTGTGGGAAACGTAGTCCTGACGAGGCAGGGCGAGCTTGGATAGGTCGGTTAAGGGGGGCGTAAGCGGAACTCAAGCCTGGCAGTTTATGAGCTTTTCCATTTATTTTTTAAAACCCTACTGCAAATTATTTTTTGAAGAATCGTCAGCTTCACAAAATACAATGATATAATAATAAAAAATTATATATATACAAATACATTAATTTTTATATTCATATTGTAAAAAAGGAAACYAAACGTGAAATAAAAGCTTTTATTTTTTAATACTTAGAAATGAAGACATTATCTTTTGGACCACATATGTGCAACACTATTGTAAATAAGGTGTCGTTTTTAAAATGAAATCAGAGCTATTAGGTTTTCAATCTGTGGGATTTAATCGGCTGTTTAAATTTAACATATATATATATAAAAAAAATACTGGATAATGTTCATTCAATAAAAGTTTCAGAATTTTAGACTAATCCAGTCAGGCAGACTGATAAATGGGAGCAGCTGACCCATCATTATTCCAAGAAATAGGTAGTGAAGACATAAACGAACAAAACAGCCTCAGACAGTCACAWTGACTAATGTTGAATTTTGCAACATTATATCTAATGAGAAGTAAGATGGTCATATCTGGGTCTGTTTTGCTACATCTGAGCCTCTACAATTTGATTTTGAAAACTGAAATACTCTAGCAAATTTCAAAACATTACAGATGTCTAGGTAGCCAAATTAAACACATCTTTTTACTAAAAGGTAGCTAAAAAGAATACTAAAGTTTTGGAAAGGCCAAGGGCGTTGAAGCAAGCAGCAAGTGAAAAAACAAAACAAAAACATCCAACATCCCAGTTAAAGCTGCTCTGTTTGAAGGGTCAGGTTCTGCTTTTTCCCGCATCACCCCAGCACTTAAAACACTCACAAACATTTACGACTGCAATACTTTTCTGAAACGATCAAACACCCAAACAGAATATTTTGTTACATTAATTTATTGGGATATATTTTTCCAGTWTGATGACCTATTTTGCAAACTTTCAACCACTGTAAAGAACATTGATATTTATGGGTCCATGTTGAGCAGTTTTGTTTTATTTCATATGGGAACATACAAGTTAAAAAGCACTTTGGCTTTTTAATACAAAAACTGGAAAATAAAAAAGAACCAATACAAGAAAACATTCAACGCGTGTCAAAATTTGGCTCAAATAAAATGAGAAAAGAAACTGTAGCGTGCAGAACAATTTAACTATCTGCATAGCAGCAAGYACATTTATGTCAGTAGTTTTTAAACTTTTCGTGACAACCCCCACCCTCCACCCACACTCARTAGTAAATGATTTTGTCAGTTTAAAAAAAATACAAAATTAACCTCCACTGCGCTGWAACAGGCTGCTCCATCAGCTTTTAGATATTCAAAAATGGACAAAAAAGCAAACAAAACATGTAATTAACAAATACATATTTATACATGTTTTATCACAGTATTGTTGGCTGGAATGAGTTTATTTTATTTCTTCAGGTTTTTAAAAAAGAAAACTAGAGTTCAATCAAGTCCAAGCATGAATAGGTATTCATCAGAAATATGCATGTCCTGCTGATGTCTATTTAYCACAGTGTTTGATTCTGATGCTGATTTTTCTGATTGGGTTATTCAGCTTTTCTGTTTTTAAAACTCAAGTACTTTTCTAACGTTGCTGGGGTTGCATGTTACAACAAGTGTTGTTCAGCTTTTATCCGCCAGCTTCAGGTTGGTCTGGGGAATTGAACTGGCAACCTCCGATCACAGGCTCACCCTCTCTACCCTCTGAGCCACCTCTCCCACTTAGAGGTCATGTTGACACACGGGAACTAACGTCTAAACATGGTTGCAATTTCAACTTTTTTTGAATTCCCCCTCCCAGTCATGACACTGCACTTCCTGCGGTGTGTGTGTGTGTGTGTGTGTGTGTGTGTGTGTRTGTGTTCTTCCTACAACGTTGGTATGATTTTCCCAAAAAAGCAGCCTTGTCAGGACCGAAGTGCATCATGGGGACCAATGCCCGGTCCCATATGGGTCCAAATGCAAATTACAGGTGCGGGGTTAGGTTTAGGTTTAGGTTAGCTTTATGGTCAGGTAGGTACCAGTGAGGGTAATTTTAGGATATATGGTCAGGGTTAGGATGTAAAGTCTAAAAAAATGAATGGAAGTCAATGCATGGTCCCCACGGTGTGTGTGTGTGTGTGTGTGTGTGTGTGTGTGTGTGTGTGTGTGAGTGAGTGAAGGGGGTTGGGGGGGCACAGTTTGAGAACCACTGAAATACATAAATTAAAAGGCAAAAACAAACTAATTTATAACTTTAGAACATAAACTGTTCCATTCAAAATAAACCACAAAGTCATTCTTGCATTTGTATTTTAAGACACTGAACGTGTCGTGGCTGTTTTTAGTGATCCTGATGTTGATTTTGATCGGCAGATACACCCTACAGATACCAAGGCAGACTATCAGGTACTGTGCATGAAAGCTGTGTACCACCATCACAGCATTTTGTTTCCTAAGTGACCGTAAATGTGTGCAGCGACACTCTGCTGCACTCTCAGTTGACCAGGCTGCCATGTTTGCCAGTCCACAGCTCTCGAAGTTCCACCTGACAGCCCAGGTCTCTGAGGGCCGCTTTCCCCACATCCCTGCAGTCTTGGTGCGTCTGCACGGCCTGAGCTATCAGCGCTTCGGCTCCCATCTCCAAAATCGTTTGGCTGTAGTTGCTCATGCGTGACACCAGGTTTCTCAACAGCATGCAGGCTTGTTTCTGGGGATTTTAAAAGAGAACATTAAAAAAAAACACAGACACCTTCTATTTTTTAATAAGCGTATTATTTTTAATCTCACTTACCTGCACGTTGATTGCATCGGGGTGAGYCTTCATGGCCTGCACAGCAGCCAGGGCGCCTCCGTTCTCCATGATGACTTTGCAGTTGTTGGGTTTGCGTAGGGCAAGAACAGAGAGGCACGCACAGCCCTGTTCACACACCTGCAGCAAAAACACCAACACGGTCTCTAAACCAGGGGGTTCTCGAGCCATTTGGGTCTGGGGACCCCTTACAAGGGCGAAAAAAATTCCAGGGCCCCCTTCATAAACTACATGCTGTTTTAAAAGATAATTTATTGTAATTTCAACCCATAAATGCCATGGGAATATATATTTTTTATTAAGTTTATTATGTTTGTTTTATTA